AAAAATAGACTTAAAGTACTACCATCATTTCTGTTCATATAGAGTTAAGAAATATGAGAAAATAATCTGTTAAATGTCTACTTTTTTATGTGCCCACATACAATCGAAATAAAATATTGTGCTTTTGTAAAATAAAGAAAATAAACAGGGTGTGCGTTCTGCCTCTCAGTCACCGTGAACTTTTTTTCTGGAGCACGTCTCTAATCTTCAACACAACTCAGCTAATACTATTCACCCAGCCATAAGCAATATATCTTTTAAATCGTTTGAGTTTGTACTTTTAAATGATCCGATTCAAAACTAAAATTAATATTCTCCGTTTATGTCATCTATATAAAAAGAGAGACGTGTCAGCCCGTCTCATTATCGTTCTCTCAGCTGATTATCACTGGTAATGTGACACGCCCACGGAGAGCACGCGCTATTCAAACGCAAATATGTGAAGCAACACATTGAGACGCGTTAACGCCCATAAACTCTGAAAACACACATTATTTTTTAGTCAGATTAATCTACTGTCGTCTTGCGCGGCTATATGAGGAACAATCCTGGGACATTTACCACTGGGTTTATTTTCACTGCGAGGATGAACAGATTCAGCTGAGAAGTAAGTGTTTTTTGCAAGTGCTTTGTTCTAATCGCGATATAGAATAACGTTAGTGTCTGTAAACGGAAAAATAGCGTACTGTTAAATGTGAATCATGTTTGTGTGTGTGTGTGTGTGTGTGTGTGTGTGTGTGTGTGTGTGTGTGTGTGAATGAATGAATGAACGCACAGATACGCACTGTTACAGACTAAATAACATTTCGTTGACTCGTTTTGGATAAAGTTTTTACTCTAAAATAGACATCAAATAAGCTTTTTTTAGGAGTTTCTGCTCATATGTTAAATATATAGTATGTTTTGTCAATAAACTAATCAACTAAGATGTTATAGTGTTTGTTCAAGCTATATCAAAATAATGAATCCTCAACTTTGAAATATGTATGATCAAACTAAGACATTTATGGAGAAAGACAATTTTCTTTTCAAGATGTTTCCAACTCTAACTTTGAACTTTGAACTGAAATAAAACCATGTCTATATGGTGAAGGGTGTGTGATAGAAGTGTCCAGACGTATGCACCCTGTATTTTCCTTATATAAATCCAAACAATCTAAAAGCCATTCTTTTTTAAATCTCCTCATTCTTTGTGCAAGGCTCCTGTAATGATATGGCCTGATAGCACCTAATAGGGCCATTATGGGGAGGGTCTTTGTCTTTCTCAGGTGTGAAATTCCCTATAGTATCCAGCTGCAGACCCGCAGCACCAACACCAGTTTCAGAACCCCAGCGCCAGAACCGGAAGTAAGGGCGGAGCTTACGTTCTAACACCAGCGCCAGGACCGGAAGTGAGGGGCGGAGCTTACGTTCTAAAACGAGTAACGCCACCTAACGTTTTGGAGCGTAATTTGCTTAGACGCAAAACGGTATGCTTTTATTTCACACGAAACGTCATACTTTACACGTATGTTATAATGATACATTAAGGTACAGTACAATAAGCATTTTAAAACATTGATTTTGTGTAATATAATTGTATATAGTAATCTGTTTCATTGTATTATGAAAAATTATTATATATTGTATTATTTTTCTTTATGTAAAATAATGTCACAAATCTAAAAAAGAGAGAGAAAATTCTGCACTGTTTTAAAAGAAACAATACAAATGTGTACAACAAATGACCAATTCACCCCTAGGCCCATTTTATCATGACAATCCTGTATAAATTTAACTTGCAATGTATCAAATGAGGAACTCACTCTCAGCCTCAGGACATTTTGTCCCTACCTACATTCTTGAAAAAATAACTCCATGTCTTCCACTGGACCCCTGAGCAGATGGCTGTTGGAATGGAGCCATTTCCAGTAGCAGTTTTAGCATGGGCATCTGACACACAGATGAACGGCAGAAAATTATTAATAATAATGCTTTCAGACATTACATTAAGGTTTTTTATTTTATTTTATTATAATTCTGACAATGTATTTACCTACATATCACAACTGTATTTACAATAACACATTTATTTATATTTGTATATAGGACTGACAGTTAAGCTGTCATTTGTAACTATACAAGAATATAAGAACTATTTAGCTATTTTAGTAAAATGTTCTTATTAAAGTGGTACAAGCAGGAGTATGTTGTTTGTGCACCACAAATTGACACTTACCAATCAGGTATTTCAAATAATTGTAAACTAGCAAGAGAGAAAATGCCACAAACTATTGTAAAGTGACACATACCATTGTTAAGTGTACATCTGTAGATCCTATATCTATTATAATGTAGATACAGCAAGTCAAATATTTGAACAAAACATTCGGACATCTCCAGCAGGAATATATATTAAATTAATTTGTAGTTATTGTAGACTAATCCCCAATGTTTAGTCAATGGTAGCTTATAAAATGTATACACCTTTTTCAGTAAGCAGAGACAGAAAAGAGACTCAACAAATATGTAAGTTAAAGCAATGGCTTCCCCCCCCCCCTTTTAATAAATACAGTTGATGCATTAGCATACTTCAAATTAGTGAAACTTGACTATGCCAGAGGCCATTACAACTTCAACTGCATAGCGGCAAATCTTCTCCAGTCTTTGTACAAGGAGTATTGTCACCTTAAAAAGAAGAAAACTGTTGTTTTTCATCAAACAACAAATAACACAAATCAACTTCAATCATATAATTACCACATACCTCTGGAATCATAACATCAAATATGTAGTTCAGGTTTTCAAGATCCTCATCTGCATCCACTGCTCTCTTTATTTTATCAGCAAGTTTGATGAGCTATTAAATATGAGAATATTGAATAATTTAGGATAATAAGGCACTTGTTGTAATATAACATTAACATATACTGCAAGTAAAATGTGAAACGCTTAAAACAATAATCTTATTTTCTCACATCACTTTCGCTGAAATAGCACTGTTTTGGCTTTAAGTGCTGCTTGAATTTCAGTGATGTCTCTGGATGTTTCCACAGGTAAAACCGACAGGATTTGATGTCTCCATTGTGAAAAGCTTCATGTAAAGCCTGTTGGAACAGAATTATGTTAAAATGGTGTGTATATATATATATATATATATACTGTATATACAACACATGGCAAGAAATGTTAATTGTGATTTTATAGTACTCACTTTTATGTCTTGATCTGAGATTAAGTTTTCAATTCCAAGTCTCAGAGCCTTCCGAGTGCTACAAAGAAACAATAATGTATATGTTATCAACATCAGGTTATGACATAGCATAGAACAAAAAACAGGCTATAGAATAGTTGCTGATTAATCAGATGACAATTAGCCAGTGGTACCACAAAAGGCTGTTAATAAGTGGTTAGCTAAATCAAAGTTTATGTGGCTTTATACTGATTATGTAACATGAATTGAAGTACCATAATATTAATGCTGAGTATGTTTTGTTCCTATTTATTTCTAGCAAGATCATATACTTTTCAGTGAAAATAAAAATGTAATTCTGGGCTAGACCATGATCCAACTCCATGTTTCTTAATGGCAGTAAAAGCTTTCTATTTAAACTTACTCATCAAAAGTGTGTGGTTGTGTCAAATCACATCCACATTTGAAAGTCCCTTTTTTGACTTCAGCTTCTTTCACTCCAGCACAATCTGTGTGTAGCCAGCCCAAACACATGTCACACTGTACCCACAAGGGCTTCACAACACTGGGATACAATGGCCTGTGAATACGATACACATGGTTTAATTAGTGTATTCACCTAAAAATATACAGTAAAAACAAAAAAGGCCTACCCTTTGCCCACTTTCTGAAAACAGCACACACGCAAGTCACCTGCCATACACTCCATCTGTTTTCCTGTTTTTTTCATTGAGTCCTATAATGAAAAATAATAATTAAAACGTTTAATTGACATCTATTTAAAAAACATCACTAATATAGGCTATTTATATAGGCGTTTGTTTCATCATTATGTCAGTATAGCTGCTCAGCTCATCTGTAAGTCACTAAGGTGTCACAAGAAGGAAACCTGTTCCGCGACAGTGTCAGTGTTCCGCGATAATGTCAGTGACATGTCACTATCCACTAGGCACATGCCAATGGAGACCTGATGTGCAAATACGTATAGTGACATGTGCCATTGGCTTCTGTGCGTCAGATGCCCATGTCACTTAATGTTAATACCGCCTCTCGCCATTTCACAGCTTCTTTCATGTGCCAGATTATTGGGAGCTCCTTCATTACATATTAAAGGAAAATGTGACTTTATAAATGTGTAAATGTGACATATAAAAGATATATATATATATATATACACATATTATACACACCACCTCACTGCTGCTAAGTGTAGCTTGTTCTTCACATGGAAGGGACTCTTGTAGGGTTTCTGCACTGGAATATATTTATATCTTGGTTAATTTAAAATTGATCAGAAGAGAGTGCAAATGTAACGGTGGGCTGGAGTAAATGTCCAGTATCTACCTTTCAGAGAAAATCCCAAAGTTCTCCAGAAGAATAAGAGCCCACCATCTCCGTATGTTTGGAAAGTCGCACTGCAAGACAAAAATAGAGAAATCTTGATATTTCAACTGCTACAACATCATAAAGGTCAATTACTTCAACTGGTAATTACTTACAGATGTAAAATCAAAGGGTGCTCCCAAGACAAGATGTAGAGCATACTGGAAAACAGCAACAATTAAGGAACATTATCTCTGTAAATCTCAATCAAAAAAAAGTATTCCTTGTTCCGTATTTAACAACTTAAAAAAATGAAAATAAAAACACCACCACACCAATCATTGGTTTAATTATATCAAAACAATGTCTCACCATCAACATGAAGACTCCACAGTCTACACCACCAATCTGTTGGGGGATATCCTAAAAAAAAAAAAAAAGCAGGAGTTTATTAAGGGTTTGACACTTCAGCAGTCCCAAATTTAGCAGACTTCTTTATAACCAACCTTGTTTTTCAGTAGCACCCATGTGCCAGGTGCGATTTTGGCTGTCATCTTACTGTAACAAAAATACACAAATAATAAAACAGATTTGTTAATATGAAGTTACATTGTGCAGCACACAGTTTGAAGCTCTGAATCCATGCAAAGACACGCAGTCAACAGTATTTGGGTCTTTCTTGTAAAAACTGTCACAGCATGCAAAATCAGAACATCATGCAAGTAACCATTAAGGAAGTTTATTAAACTCTTGAACAGCAAAACTTGAACAAACACATTGAACAGCGAACCTTGAACAGCAAACCTGAACTGAGAACCTTGAACAGCAAACCTGAACTCAGAACCTTGAACATTTTAACTTCTATATTTATTTTTGCAACCTGAAAACTTTCACATATCTCTCATCACCCAACCCATACGGATTGGTTGAATCTAGAAAGTACATGTGCCTATCTTTTGGCTTCATGACCTGCAAAAAATAGTGTTAGTACTTAAGAATCATGAAATGGCATTTCTGAATTGTGATGAGACAAAAGCAGGCAATTTTCAGACAACACTGCAAAGTTACATTAAATAACTTACACACAACATCCAGTGTGCTGGCTTCCAAGCAGGGAAGACAATGAAATCTTTCAGCGCAATGCAATCCTATAGATGATTAAAAAAAAATCCATTTAGTTTAAAATAAAATTGGACACTGCTGTGAATGTTATGTAACTTTGTGGCCTCACTGGAAATGACAATAATGGGTCCAAATTATTTGGAGGCAACCAGGTCACCACAACATATGCGTTGGCTGTCCACACATCCATTCCCTACAACATAACATACCAATATAAGACTGTACACTAGACAACTAGGTCTCTGACTATTTGAGATTTGCAGCTTTACAAAAACTTACTCGTTCCTTAGCCACCAATGCAATCACCTCAAGACAGCTGTTTGCAATCTGCAGTTTTTAAAAAGACAACTGTAAATAGTGAGTCACAAACATTTCTTATTGTATGTTATTGTATGTCATTGTCAACTCACTGTTGCCTCCAACAGCTCATTGAGACCTAGAGTACGGAAATCTTTCCTCCTCAGAACCAAGTTCCCAACTTTTCCAATTGTTTCATCTGGGTCATCTGTCCCCAAAGCCCAGTCAAGCTTAACGACAAATGAGAAAAGAAATTACATAGAGTATATATATATATATATATATATATATAAAATTCTGCATTTCAAATTCATAAATTCTGGTTTGTGAGTGCCATTACAACATCAAATAAAACTGAAAACTGTCATTCACATACCATTGCTGATTGTCTATGGCTTGGCAGACAATCCCAACACACTCTACTGGCAAACAGCTGTTCGATGCTACACACAATTTCATTTCCTGCTGTAATAGTTAAAATGGATAATTACATACAATAACTTGCATCAGGATATATCAAGACTTAATACAAAATATATTAACACTTACTACTGGTTGGGGCCATCGTTGAGGTCAGGGTTGTGTCTTCCATCTCAATGTCTATGTCCTCCATTTCAATGTCTATGTCCTCCATCTCAATGTCTATGGGGACTGGCTCCTCAGTGGAGATGTCAGAATTTTCTATAACAATACAAACAGCCAACAAGAGCTAGACCCAAACCTCATATTTCCTTTAAACAAACACACTGGATGGTGGCCTATGCATTTACACTACTTAAAAAAAAAATATATATATATATATATATATATATATAAAGAAATTTTAATTTACCCAGCACAGCCTGTCCATGCATATTCTTCACCAACTTTGATCCAAACGTCTTCATTAATCTAGTCCTTACTTTGTTGTTCTTGTTTTCGTTATAGTGGTGAATTATGGTCCTCATTTGAAACAGATGTGTTGATGGCTGAGACATGTTCAAAAAGTAGTTATTTTTTCTCATCTTTGAGAACAGTTGCTCTGCAACCTGGCTATTTATTTTGCCAGCTAGTTGAGGCACTATAGTGATCTTCCTCAGAACATCTCTACTGTCTTTGGAATTGCTCTCGTGAAAACGGTCAGACAATACGTAATGATCCGAAGACCCTGTCAGTGGGTGTCCTTGAGGATCGCTCACACTCATTTTTTCCTCCAGCCAAGGCAAGGACACTTTCAGATTTCCAGATTTGGCAAGTTTAATGTTTTCTTCATTGGGTTCTGCTAAGCGTCCTTCATATGGACGAATAGGTATGCTTTCTGGTGCCCTTAGATTGGCATGTGTTGCTAAACCGCGTGCAAAGTCATAAATAATGATGTTCGGCAGATGCTTCCATGAGAACAGAAGATCAGCAAAATCTCGAGGGCTTTCTGCTCGAAGATTGCTTTTTAAACTGTAAACTATGCCACATGGGCACATGATGACTCCCCAGCCTCCTAATATAGCACAAAAAAAAGACATTCTTCAAAAACAATTCTTACAAAGTTTGAAACATTAATGTATTGGCAATATATTGACTGTAATATCAAAGGTTATATTTGCAACACAAAACAGTATTAGAAATTAAGCTCACCAGAGGCACCCCAGATTTTTTCAAAGATTTTATCATATGTTTGCCTCGATTTCAATTCATTAGACAATCTGAGGAGGAGGTCACTCCGAGATCCAGTGGAGTCTAGACCACATTCTTTGCATAGTTTCCGAATAACATTAACCTACAAAAAAATATTATTGAATATAGTGTAGTATATTGGAAAAAAGTAGTCGTACTTTTACAAACAAACCTTTTGCTTTTGAAGTTCTTCCTTCAGCCTCTCCTCTGTCACTGTAATTTCTGCGGTCTCTGAGGCAGACTTTGAAGAATGAAGTTTTTCATACTCTGTGTTTAGCACAATATCTGAACGACGTGTGTTCTTGCCAATCCAAGGAGCCCAGAAGTGATACATGGGTTTAACAACAAATGGATTTTGTGCACCACCTACAAAAGCAGAATTAAAAACATAAGCTGTGTGATTCTTTTAATTTCTTTGCAATATGGTGCATAAAAAAAATAAAAAAATGTTTCCACATACTTGCAACAAATCCACGACATATCATCTCTTTGGACAATGCCTCCCAGAATGTTTCCAGATTGACTTCCCCTTGATAGTTTTCTTGGGGTTCCTCTATGTCATTTACTGGAAGAAAACAAAATGTGTAAAAAAAATGTTCACTATATGGCAATAACATGAAGAAAAAATAAATAGAAAATAAATAAATAAAACAAACTTGGAAGTGAACATGATTACAATAAACATACCAGAAAGCTGGAAAACACCCTTTTTGTGTAGATCCATTATCACAACAGGGGGATAATCACCACAGGTAACGCATGAATACCTGTACTCATGGTCTGTAAGGGCCTCAAAGTGTAAATAGGCATGCAGCACCGTGTCTGCTGACGGAAACTTTAAACCGGTCAAATCTTGCAAAAAATCAACGGCTCTGCTCACAGAAGTATGCACCTGGAATAAACAAAATCTGTTTTAAGTAACATACATAATAGTGTTAAATTAACACCATAGTGTTAAATTAAAAGTTACCTGGAGAAGGCTTCTCAAGGTAAGGCATAAGGGTATGGCAAGGATGATGTGGTCATTGAAGTTATGTAGGTGGTCTTTCCACTCCTGGTAACGGTAGAACATTCCACAAAGTGGGCACTGCTTACAGTAGGTGGCAACGTCTAAAATTTCAACAAGTAATACATCAGAGGACAATTTAGCTGAATATTACACACGCAATTACATAACACCAAATCATACCTTCAATAATGGACCAGTTTGTGAGTATTTTAGCCTTCTTTGTAATTAGGATGGGATCACTGAGGGGGACAACACCTGGACAACTCTGACATATACTTTCATCTGGACAAAGGTTTCTTGGGTAGTCCTTGTCTGGTGATGGTGCATGCACATCATCTGGTAGATCAACGGGTATCTTCTTGTGCTGAAGAATGTAAGATACCATATTTTTTAGCCCCAGATCTTTTGGAGGATAAACAGGACTGTCTTCTCTGAAATCATTCTCCTCAGACTGTGCATGTGGCCCTTTGAGTGGTGATTCTTCTCTGCTGAAGACTGTTCGAAACAACTCACGTTGGGTCTGAAAAAGGTGCCATTTTGCAATATATTTGTGCAAACATGAACGCCTCAATTTGGCACAGGGACAATGCCATGTGTTTAATTTTGAGTCATACACAACCATTACACGTCCCAACCGACTGTAATAGGAGACATTGGGTTCAAATACGGAAATTAATTTCTTTGTTTCAGGGGTGCCAATCGAAGTTTGAACAGAGAGTGGTATGCAACTGCTGTTGGCAAGTTGCTGGTGAGTAAGGCATATCTTCTTCTTTTCAGTACTAAACCACTTTGCTTTTACCATCTCGGTTAAAATCTCCTCTTTCAGGGAGACTGGTTCGGCAGAAGATGTGCAGTAAGTTACAGAGCGGATGTGTTTGCACTGATATGATGACAGGCCACTCCTCTGTGCAACTTCCATGTTGACCTGACATTCATGTGATTCACAGATGACCTTATGGTGTTCTCCCCATGTCTTGAGCTGAATATGAAGAGGAACACTGTGACCCTTGGTAACTTTAAGGACTGTAAATATGCCATTTGGCCTGTCAATGCACTGGCTTACAAGATGGAATGTGGCATTAATGTCCTGTATTGGCTGTTCTGTGTGTTTGCGGTCAATGTGTTTTTTTAAGTTTTTTCTATTAATGAGGATATTGCAAACTGGGCAATTTTTTTTAATCACAGGCTGCACACGAACCCTGTGTGGTGTGGTCAGAGTGGCTGCAGAAGGTGTGGTCAAGGCTGCAGAAGGTGTGGTCAGGGCTGCAGAAGGTGTGGTCAGGGCTGCAGAAGGTGTGGTCAGGGCTGCAGAAGGTGTGGTCAGGGCTGCAGAAGGTGTGGTCAGGGCTGCAGAAGGTGTGGTCAGGGCTGCAGAAGGTGTGGTCAGGGTGGCTGCAGAAGGTGTGGTCAGGGTGGCTGCAGAAGGTGTGGTCAGCGCTGCAGTGGCTGCAGAAGGTGTGGTCAAGGCTGCAGAAGGTGTGGTCAGGGCTGCAGAAGGTGTGGTCAGGGCTGCAGAAGGTGTGGTCAGGGCTGCAGAAGGTGTGGTCAAGGCTGCAGAAGGTGTGGTCAGGGCTGCAGAAGGTGTGGTCAGGGCTGCAGAAGGTGTGGTCAGGGTGGCTGCAGAAGGTGTGGTCAGCGCTGCAGTGGCTGCAGAAGGTGTGGTCAGCGCTGCAGTGGCTGCAGAAGGTGTGGTCAGGGCTGCAGAAGGTGTGGTCAGCGCTGCAGTGGCTGCAGAAGGTGTGGTCAGGGCTGCAGAAGGTGTGGTCAAGGCTGCAGAAGGTGTGGTCAGGGCTGCAGAAGGTGTGGTCAGGGTGGCTGCAGAAGGTGTGGTCAGCGCTGCAGTGGCTGCAGAAGGTGTGGTCAGGGTGGCTGCAGAAGGTGTGGTCAGCGCTGCAGTGGCTGCAGAAGGTGTGGTCAAGGCTGCAGAAGGTGTGGTCAGGGCTGCAGAAGGTGTGGTCAGCGCTGCAGTGGCTGCAGAAGGTGTGGTCAGAGTGGCTGCAGAAGGTGTGGTCAGCGCTGCAGTGGCTGGTGATAAAATTGTGGTTGAAGTTGGAAGCGGTTTGTTTTTGCAAACCTGTACATGCGTTTCAAAATCCCTTCTCCTTAAAACTGTAGTATCACAGTATGGGCAGTGGTAATGCAGTGCTGTTCTACATCCCAGTCCACATCTGTGTATAGTGAAGCCTAAAATAAATCAGTAAACTATTATGCTATAATATATTGGGTTGTGTGTACATGTATTAAACAAATATTCAAGATATTCATACCTCCATAGACAACTGCCTTGTTGAAGTGGATTTGTACATGACTTTTTAATTTTACTAGTTTTGCTGGCTTAAATACACTGGCCGAGCAAAAAGGGCAGTGGTAATAGCTGCAGCACTTGTTGCACTGCTGCAGCTCAGGTAATGAGTCGCCTCTCTGAATCGTTATATGTCTCTACAAGAGATGAAAGCACCACACAATAATATCAACGTAAAAAAACTCCCCAACTATAAGGTAACATTAACTCACAAACAATGCATATAACAGAGGAATGTGGAACAAACACTTTAACACCTTCACAAGATAAACGTCTTCAAAACGTCACCGCAAGCAAGGCCCATTTACAACACGCAACAATGTATCGAACCATCCGTAGAAAAAATGTTTAATACAATAGAGTATGACAACATATTCAAGCTTCAATAAGATGATAAAGTTAAGCACAAATTCAATATTTAGCAGCTAAATGCAGAACTTAATAATATGCGATAATTTTTCATCACATGATGTCAAAAACGTTAGACAACTCACCGTGCTCTCCGCCATGCTTGTCTCATTGTCAATAACTCCGCCCCCACTTCCGGTTCTGGCGCTGGGGTTCTGGCGCTGGGGTTCTGAAACTGGTGTTGGTGCTGCGGGTCTGCAGCTGGATATATCTCGAAATTCCACACATATTAATGAGAGACCACGCCTCCTGCATAAAGCTTTCTCAAACAAAACACGTCATTAAAAATGTAAAAGACTTTATTGACTTATCTGAATGAGTAGTCAGGATGATTCTCACATAGTTTTGGAGCAAATATTCTAGGCTATGTGATACAATTTTCAAAAGTCTTGTGAAGAAATAATCAATATGTGTTTTGTGGTCTTATTTCAGCAACTTTCATTTTTATTTTTTTCAATAACCACGCATAAACATTATTCTATTAAAAATACAAACATGTACATACATGTTGCTCACTCATCATGGTAGCCAAGTTTGTGCTATATAGAGTGAATTTACACCTTTGCCATTAACATGTTTATAAATAACTGAAAAAAGCACAAATGTCAGTGCATGTCAAAACATCCCAAGGGCCCCAAAAACACTCTGGTCCCCAGAGGGTTAAGGCTCAATTAGATGTTTTTTGAGTCTCAGTTCTCACCATTTTATATATGAAGTAGTTGTCTGAAGATGTCTGATAGAGCTGCATGGAGTTTAAATTTATTTAAAGTTCATTAACTTAACTGTCACATTCCAAAACCTTCTAAATGAATACTTGGGTCCAAATTCCCCTACAAAAAAATAATAATAATAATAAAAAAAAAAAAAAATATATATATATATATATACATATCTCATCTCTGTCAGGCAAAACCCTTGAATGAAAACATATTTTTAAAAGTTGATATTGTGGCTATATATATGGTCAGACACTTGCATGTGCCATTGTATTATAAACGTTTTACCAAAATCAAGCTCAAATAAAGTTATGAGGATTTTGACCCGTGAATTTCGGAGAATTTCCGACATATGTGTTTTGTCTGTCATTAGAACGACCCCATCTGAGGCAGTAAGTGATTCACAGTATGTTTTCATCAACTTACAGTAGCTATGTGGACGCTCAGTTTTTTCTATCATTTGGCCAAAATCATGTTCTAAAATATAAAGGGCTATGCACAGGCTATTTATGACAGTATTGGCTATGACTCGACAAGAAATGTTAGACTAAGACACTCTTCTCCGCTCCTCAAATGCATTCATTTTGCACCTTGATGGGGTACATTTATTTTATTTGTATCTGAAAGCTGTTCTGCATATTTACACTGCTCTGTTTGATCTGTGGATGAAGTCATTGGATGGCACATCAGAATCACCCTTGATTATTCATTTGTACACAAAGACAAGCTTGTGCATATTTCCTTTCCTGTTATCACTTGTACAACACTGGCAAGGAAAATACAGTTTTCTTGAATCTGTTTGATTTGTCTTGTTTTTAGCTTGCAGTCAGGGCCGTAGCTAGAGGATTCGGGGCCCCCTGAAAAAATATTGATGTGGGCCCCCACCACCCTCCACCAATATCATATACTGTACAATAGATGAACATGGAGGCCCACATAACAGAAGATGGTGATGTTGTTGTAAAACCTTTATTTTAAAAGTTAAATGTTTATATACAAATTACAACTAATAAAAACTAACAAAAAGCAAGAAATTATTAAATAATAATAAAACCAATTTTTAAAAAGTAATATTTCCCCCCCCCCCCCCCCCCCCATCAGTCTGTTATAATTCATAAATCAAAAAGTATACATTTAGAAATTGACAAGAATGCAGTCTAATTAAAAAAATAAAACCATATTGCCTTATTTTTTAATAAAGATAATATGGAACTGGTAATATTATTAAATAAAGCGAATACATTTATTCATCCAAGTGCAGTGTTTTGTATTCGTGTTTTCTCGATGTTTTAAATATCATCAGCCGGCAGGTCAGATGCATAATGCAATGCGTCGTGACTCGTGTAATTTTTTTAAAACTCTAGTTACAATAGTGTAAAAAGACAGGAATTTAGACCACGTAATCATTCGGTCGATTGTGGCGTGCACCGATAATAAAAAATGACTGTACACGGCAGACTGTAGACGGAAGTTTTCTAATTCCCAGCGAAATAACAATATATATCCGGTCTTTAAGAACGTCTTGATCGAATGGGATACAACCACTCTCCTTGCCTCCCTCTCCGTCTTTTCCTGGCATTTCTGGTACCTGATTTTTGTTTTCTTTTCCCCGACATTTTTCAGTCAGTTAGTCTCCTGCTCTTCCATCAAGTTCATCGTTAACTTCAGGCTGCCGCCTCAACTCTGATTGGTTCTGTTCACGAGCTGGGGTGGGACTTACAATTTTATTGGGTCCATCTGATGTTTGTCACTGAATATTGTGGGCAGCGGGGGCCCCTATAATTGTCACCACCTTTCACCCCACTAGCGACGGCCCTGCTTGCAGTTTCCGTATTTATATTGGTTTGCCAAATGCTCTCTGCATCTATGATGAGACCTAAATGGTGGAAGAACAAGCAGAGAAACTGACATGATAATGTCATACGACACTCTCGTAAATGTTCATACCCTGATATTAAATTGATCGTCATATTTCACATGCAGTTATTTTATGTTATTATGACAAGTTTATGTTGACTCAAAACTCAGCGGAGGGTGTGATGGGTGTATATTAGCTGCTCAAAGCATATTCATGATAATCTCAACAGGTGTCATAACATGTAACAAAGGACAAAGATCAACCAGCATCGCTCAGCAGACTTACACTGAAAATAACAATGGGGATGTTATAGCGGTCTGGCCATCTGGAGCTGTGTAGGAATTCCTGCTGGGATGATCCACCTGTGGGACGCCAGTGTATTACATTTATTTACATATTTAATCCTGGCTCAGTCAGTCTAACTCGGCAGTAATTGTGAAGGGGTTGGAGGGAATGTTGATAAATCTGAGGTCCAACTGTCACTGAGCCCAAGCCATGTGGCTCATTTTAGTCTCAAGTTTAGTTGTATATCATTATCCAGCCCATTTCTTCACACTCAGACAGATGTAGCCTCAAGAATCATCTATTAGGAAGAAAACAAGGAAGAGGATGACCATACAAAGGTTGGGCTGACAGTCTTATGAGGAAGACGTTGATACTTTTTTTGCGATGAGTGTTGGCTAATTAAGCAAATGAGACCATAACTAAAGGGCAGTCAAACAATATGTAAATATCAAAATCTATCTTATACTTTGATTAGATTATTTATAGTTGAATATATGATAGATTTCCTAAATTTTGGGATGAAAGTTTGGTGTGAGATTAAAGTCTATACTATATAAAATTAAATTTGAGGAGTTGCAAAAATAAATGATGAAACGTGGTGAAAACTTTTAAGCACTTTTAATGACTTTCATATAACAAAAATAAAATAAAAGTTTTTTTCTGTTAGTTTTAATAAAAAAGATTGCCTTTAGTTTAAGAAACACCCACCTATAACAAGCACATTCAGTTCAGACCAAATCATTGCTGCAAGGGCGAGGAAAGAGACGGATCAAACAATCAGTATTCTAAGAGCTAACTAGGCTGCTAACTCTACACTACCATATCTGCAGTAGACACTATTTTTTCCCAAGTAAAATTCTATGTCTCTAATTAAACACAAATTTAAGGGAGTTCTGTGGACATTTTTGCCTCAAATGTTACTGATGTTGGTCCAAAAATAACAAAAAGAAACACAAATGGCACAAAGAAAAATAACAAAAAGAAACACATGGCACAAAGAAACACCAAACAAAACAATGAACATGGCTTTGTTGTTTGTTTTAATTATTTTTTCAATTATTTTTTTATATTTATATTTAATTATTATTATTATTTTGTCTACCAGTTCAGATAAGATTGACATGGATTCATGAAGATGATTCATGACCGGCAGCTGGGCAGGACATGGCTGGACTGGAACAGGCAAGGCACACTGGCAACACCCAACGGGAAACATTAGACAATGAACTGGCACAGGATTGCAAATGCAAGGGGAATAAATATGGAGCAAATAAGACTGGTATAGGGAGGACAGGTGGGGCAAATGAACCAATAATCAGATAACAAGAAGGGCGGGTTTAAGACAATGGACAGCAGAGCACATGGCACAAAGAAACACCAAACAAAACAAAAACAAGAGCACATGGCCAGCGAACAGGATCAAATGTGCCTAAAAAACAAGATACAAATACGCAGCCAATGAGAGCATATCCACACAAAACATGACAATATGAAAGCACGCAGCCGATGAAAAATGCGAGCCACGTGCTACACAACACAATGAGATACACGTCAGCAGCGTCTTACGTCATCAGCATCACTGAACGCGGATTGACAACAGAACCGGAAGACAATACAATGCTGAATAAAGTCGTAGTTTTTGTTATTTTTGGACCAAAATGTATTTTCGATGCTTCAAAAGATTCTAACTAACCCACTGATGTCACATGGACTACTCTGATGATGTCTTTATTTCCTTTCTGGACAAGGACAGTATACTGTACATACATTTTCAATGGAGGGACAGAAAGCTCTCGGACTAAATCTAAAATATCTTAAACTGTGTTCCGAAGATGAACGAAGGTCTTACGGGCTTGGAACGACATGAGGGTGAGTCATTAATGACATAATTTTTGGGTGAACTAACCCTTTAACATTGACAAAGCATAGGCTACTCATTTTCATAAATGCACACGGTAAAATAAAAAAGATATAAACTTATATGAAAACAATGTCTATAATAATTTGAAAGAAATGGCTAATAGGTTGTGACATTTGTTTTTGAAGTTATGGTGTATTAATTGTGCTTTGGTCGTTAATCGCTATTTGCTGAGATTTTCAGTTAAGCACCAAGATCGCAGCACATGTCAATTCTCACACAGATGCGTTTTGTGTCCTTGCGTCCTTTCGAGTTCGTTCTTTTAAAGTCGCCTGGCAAGACCGGTCTCAACGAGAACGCAATTCCGTTCTTTGCATTCTTGTAATTGAGAAACAGCCCAT